TTAGGTTCCAACAATATTATTAATTTTCACTTTCCAAAGTTGCCAGATAACTGAGTTGATAGTGTAATAGTTACCATGCAGATGGTAGTGTAATAGTTACCATGCGGATGGTAGTGTAATAGTTACCATGCAGATGGTAGTGTAATAGTTACCATGCGGATGGTAGTGTAATAGTTACCATGCAGATGGTAGTGTAATAGTTACCATGCGGATGGTAGTGTAATAGTTACCATGCGGATGGTATGGGTTCAAGACACATCATGTCCATGTTACATTTTTTATTTTACATGTGAATGATAAGGCTGCCTATCGGAAATTGCAGGTGAAGTATAGTTCAACTGTTTCTGTGTTTTCGGCATATGAAGGGATAGTGTGGTCAGAACAATGCTCAGCCGAAATGGGCATTTTTAAAAGACAATAACATGTTGCCTGAGGAGTGACATCTTTTTGTAAGTGGGGTCTGACTTTTTGTAAGTGGGGTCTGACTTTTTGTAAGTGGGGTCTGACTTTTTGTAAGTGGGGTCTGACTTTTTGTAAGTGAAGTCTGACTTTTTGTAAGTGGGGTCTGACTTTTTGTAAGTGGGGTCTGACTTTTTGTAAGTGGGGTCTGACTTTTTGTAAGTGGGGTCTGACTTTTTGTAAGTGGGGTCTGACTTTTTGTAAGTGGGGTCTGACTTTTTGTAAGTGGGGTCTGACTTTTTGTAAGTGGGGTCTGACTTTTTGTAAGTGGGGTCTGACTTTTTGTAAGTGGGGTCTGACTTTTTGTAAGTGGGGTCTGACTTTTTGTAAGTGGGGTCTGACTTTTTGTAAGTGGGGTCTGACTTTTTGTAAGTGGGGTCTGACTTTTTGTAAGTGGGGTCTGACTTTTTGTAAAGATGTGTGACAGTGGGAAGGGAAATGATAAAAATCGTCAAATAAACATGCCGTCATTTATAGATGACCCCCAAAACACATTCAAGAATAACAGGTAGTCTAGTACACAATAATAATGACATTACAGCCTGATTTATTTGTCGAATCTTTAAAGTGGTCTGCATGCAGAGTTTCTGATACAATTAATATAGAAAATATATACTATAGCCAATGTCACCACCCCCCCCCCCCCCCCCCATGAGAGATACCTAAAAGAAACTCTGTATGTGACTTTTGTCAAGTTTGACCTAAAAAGATGAAAACTTGCCTGTAAAGAAATCCCAAAATTTGTACTTAATCGACCTCTGATCCTTGAGGACTTTTTCTTGATAGAATGGAAGGTCAGCTTGGAGATTTTGTCCCCTAGTGTCTCATCATTCAACTTTTTATATTTGTATACTGAAACATTTCATCAAATAGTATGTCATCATTCAACTTTTTATATTTGTATACTGAAACATTTCATCAAATAGTGTCTCATCATTCAACTTTTTATATTTGTATACTGAAACATTTCATCAAATAGTGTCTCATCATTCAACTTTTTATATTTGTATACTGAAACATTTCATCAAATAGTGTCTCATCATTCAACTTTTTATATTTGTATACTGAAACATTTCATCAAATAGTGTCTCATCATTCAACTTTTTATATTTGTATACTGAAACATTTCATCAAATAGTGTCTCATCATTCAACTTTTTATATTTGTATACTGAAACATTTCATCAAATAGTGTCTCATCATTCAACTTTTTATATTTGTATACTGAAACATTTCATCAAATAGTTATTCAAATTTTGGTCTTTGTAAGCTGAGACATTCAAGTTTTTTTTGTATACTATTTTGTTTCTACTCTTTAGTAATAAGATTTTTAAAAAAATGTAATTAATCACAAATATATTCTGCTCAGTTTTGAGTTAAGAGCCCTCATAAAAAATTATTTACTTTACAAACTCATCATGAGCTTGCAATATTATCTCTAAGTAAAAATTATCTAACAACTAATATCCATCATGAGCTTGCAATATTATCTCTAAGTGAAAATTATCTAACAACTAATATCCATCATGAGCTTGCAATATTATCTCTAAGTAAAAATTATCTAACAACTAATATCCATCATGAGCTTGCAATATTATCTCTAAGTGAAAATTATCTAACAACTAATATCCGTCTTTAACCATAATCTTCAAATCCTTAAAACATACAGACTCAAAGTATAATCAAAGTATAATCAAAGTATAATCAAAGTATAATCTAACTAAAATTTTTATTTGTTATCTTTTGTCCATTCATTGATTTGACTGAAATTGTCAAATCTCTCTCAACAAAGCTCATTTGTACACCATCCTTGTCATGTTATTTGTACACCAACATTTGTCATGTTATTTGTACACCAACATTTGTCATGTTATTTGTACACCAACATTTGTCATGTTATTTGTACACCATCCTTGTCATGTTATTTGTACACCAACCTTGTCATGTTATTTGTACACCATCCTTGTCATGTTATTTGTACACCATCCTTGTCATGTTATTTGTACACCAACATTTGTCATGTTATTTGTACACCAACATTTGTCATGTTATTTGTACACCAACCTTGTCATGTTATTTGTACACCATCCTTGTCATGTTATTTGTACACCATCCTTGTCATGTTATTTGTACACCAACATTTGTCATGTTATTTGTACACCATCCTTGTCATGTTATTTGTACACCATCCTTGTCATGTTATTTGTACACCATCCTTGTCATATTATTTATAAACTACCAGATGAAGACAAAGAAAAACTGACCTAAGTCTTTGCGTCTCTTGTACTCATTGATAGCCTTGGCCACATCTGTCATGGCCTTGATTGCTGTCTCTAGTTCCTGGTGATCACAGTGGCCATCTTCTGTGTTCTGGGAACATTCAATGTAAATAAGCTACATTTTGGCCATCTTCTGTGTTCTGGGAACATTCAATGGAAATAAGCTACATTTTGGCCATCTTCTGTGTTCTGGGAACATTCAATGGAAATAAGCTAATTTTTGGCCATCTTCTGTGTTCTGGGAACATTCAATGGAAATAAGCTACATTTTGGCCATCTTCTGTGTTCTGGGAACATTCAATAAGCTACATTTGACTACTACATTCAGCACTGGATGATATTTGAACAAACCTTAAACAATTCATTCAGCAATAAATGATATTTGAACAAACCTTCAACAATTCATTCAGCAATAAAGGATATTTGAACAAACCTTCAACAATTCATTCAGCAATAAATGATATTTGAACAAACCTTCAACAATTCATTCAGCAATAAATGATATTTGAACAAACCTTCAACAATTCATTCAGCAATAAAGGATATTTTAATATGCGCTGCACTGGTTTGATGAGTACCCCAGAAATGTCGAAGACGTTGGTGTGCTCCCTCATCTGCTCCAACTTGTCCTGAAAGTATTCCCTCATCTCTGGCTGCTGGTTGTAGCGCTCCATCATTGTTAGCACTTCATCGTGATTGCGACAGTAAGGAGCGTAGGTATTTTTCATGTCTTCAGCATAAAAGGTAAAACATGGTCCTGAAAAATTGGCCATCAATAAACAAGGTGAAACATGGTCCTGAAAAATTGGCCATCAATAAACAAGGTGAAACATGGTCCTGAAAAATTGGCCATCAATAAACAAGGTGAAACATGGTCCTGAAAAATTGGCCATGAATAAACAAGTCTGATGATTGGGACTAATGTACTTTTGTAGAATTAAGAAGGAGGAAGTGGTGCTGGGTGGGACACACACTGACAGGAGCACTGAGCACTCTCTGACACACCAGGTGCTGGGTGGGACACACACTGACAGGAGCACGGAGCACTCTCTGACACACCAGGTGCTGGGTGGGACACACACTGACAGGAGCACTCTCTGACACACCAGGTGCTGGGTGGGACACACACTGACAGGAGCACTGAGCCCTCTCTGACACACCAGGTGCTGGGTGGGACACACACTGACAGGAGCACGGAGCACTCTCTGACACACCAGGTGCTGGGTGGGACACACACTGACAGGAGCACTCTCTGACACACCAGGTGCTGGGTGGGACACACACTGACAGGAGCACTGAGCCCTCTCTGACACACCAGGTGCTGGGTGGGACACACACTGACAGGAGCACTGAGCACTCTCTGACACACCAGGTGCTGGGTGGGACACACACTGCCAGGAGCACTGAGCCCTCTCTGACACACCAGGTGCTGGGTGGGACACACACTGACAGGAGCACTGAGCACTCTCTGACACACCAGGTGCTGGGTGGGACACACACTGCCAGGAGCACTGAGCCCTCTCTGACACACCAGGTGCTGGGTGGGACACACACTGACAGGAGCACTGAGCACTCTCTGACACACCAGGTGCTGGGTGGGACACACACTGACAGGAGCACTGAGCACTCTCTGACACACCAGGTGCTGGGTGGGACACACACTGACAGGAGCACTCTCTGACACACCAGGTGCTGGGTGGGACACACACTGACAGGAGCACTCTCTGACACATCAGGTGCTGGGTGGGACACACACTGCCAGGAGCACTGAGCACACTCTGACACACCAGGTGCTGGGTGGGACACACACTGACAGGAGCACTCTCTGACACATCAGGTGCTGGGTGGGACACACACTGACAGGAGCACTCTCTGACACATCAGGTGCTGGGTGGGACACACACTGCCAGGAGCACTCTCTGACACACCAGGTGCTGGGTGGGACACACACTGACAGGAGCACTGAGCCCTCTCTGACACACCAGGTGCTGGGTGGGACACACACTGACAGGAGCACTGAGCACACTCTGACACACCAGGTGCTGGGTGGGACACACACTGACAGGATCACTCTCTGACACATCAGGTGCTGGGTGGGACACACGCTGCCAGGAGCACTCTCTGACACACCAGGTGCTGGGTGGGACACACACTGACAGGAGCACTGAGCCCTCTCTGACACACCAGGTGCTGGGTGGGACACACACTGACAGGAGCACTCTCTGACACACCAGGTGCTGGGTGGGACACACACTGACAGGAGCACTGAGCACTCTCTGACACACCAGGTGCTGGGTGGGACACACACTGCCAGGAGCACTCTCTGACACACCAGGTGCTGGGTGGGACACACACTGACAGGAGCACTGAGCACTCTCTGACACACCAGGTGCTGGGTGGGACACACACTGACAGGAGCACTCTCTGACACACCAGGTGCTGGGTGGGACACACACTGCCAGGAGCACTCTCTGACACACCAGGTGCTGGGTGGGACACACACTGACAGGAGCACTGAGCCCTCTCTGACACACCAGGTGCTGGGTGGGACACACACTGACAGGAGCACTGAGCACTCTCTGACACACCAGTTGCTGGGTGGGACACACACTGCCAGGAGCACTCTCTGACACACCAGGTGCTGGGTGGGACACACACTGACAGGAGCACTGAGCCCTCTCTGACACACCAGGTGCTGGGTGGGACACACACTGACAGGAGCACTGAGCACTCTCTGACACACCAGGTGCTGGGTGGGACACACACTGCCAGGAGCACTGAGCCCTCTCTGACACACCAGGTGCTGGGTGGGACACACACTGACAGGAGCACTCTCTGACACACCGGGTGCTGGGTGGGACACACACTGACAGGAGCACTGAGCACTCTCTGACACACCAGGTGCTGGGTGGGACACACACTGACAGGAGCACTGAGCACTCTCTGACACACCAGGTGCTGGGTGGGACACACACTGACAGGAGCACTCTCTGACACACCAGGTGCTGGGTGGGACACACACTGACAGGAGCACTCTCTGACACACCGGGTGCTGGGTGGGACACACACTGACAGGAGCACTGAGCACTCTCTGACACACCAGGTGCTGGGTGGGACACACACTGATAGGAGCACTCTCTGACACATCAGGTGCTGGGTGGGACACACACTGCCAGGAGCACTGAGCACACTCTGACACACCAGGTGCTGGGTGGGACACACACTGACAGGAGCACTCTCTGACACATCAGGTGCTGGGTGGGACACACACTGACAGGAGCACTCTCTGACACATCAGGTGCTGGGTGGGACACACACTGCCAGGAGCACTCTCTGACACACCAGGTGCTGGGTGGGACACACACTGACAGGAGCACTCTCTGACACACCAGGTGCTGGGTGGGACACACACTGACAGGAGCACTGAGCCCTCTCTGACACACCAGGTGCTGGGTGGGACACACACTGACAGGAGCACTGAGCACTCTCTGACACACCAGTTGCTGGGTGGGACACACACTGCCAGGAGCACTCTCTGACACACCAGGTGCTGGGTGGGACACACACTGACAGGAGCACTGAGCCCTCTCTGACACACCAGGTGCTGGGTGGGACACACACTGACAGGAGCACTGAGCACTCTCTGACACACCAGGTGCTGGGTGGGACACACACTGACAGGAGCACTGAGCACTCTCTGACACACCAGGTGCTGGGTGGGACACACACTGACAGGAGCACTGAGCACTCTCTGACACACCAGGTGCTGGGTGGGACACACACTGACAGGAGCACTGAGCACTCTCTGACACACCAGGTGCTGGGTGGGACACACACTGACAGGAGCACTCTCTGACACATCAGGTGCTGGGTGGGACACACACTGCCAGGAGCACTGAGCACACTCTGACACACCAGGTGCTGGGTGGGACACACACTGACAGGAGCACTGAGCACTCTCTGACACACCAGGTGCTGGGTGGGACACACACTGCCAGGAGCACTCTGACACACCAGGTGCTGGGTGGGACACACACTGACAGGAGCACTCTCTGACACACCAGGTGCTGGGTGGGACACACACTGACAGGAGCACTCTCTGACACACCAGGTGCTGGGTGGGACACACACTGCCAGGAGCACTCTCTGACACATCAGGTGCTGGGTGGGACACACACTGACAGGAGCACTCTCTGACACACCAGGTGCTGGGTGGGACACACACTGACAGGAGCACTCTCTGACACACCAGGTGCTGGGTGGGACACACACTGACAGGAGCACTCTCTGACACACCAGGTGCTGGGTGGGACACACACTGACAGGAGCACTCTCTGACACATCAGGTGCTGGGTGGGACACACACTGACAGGAGCACTGAGCACTCTCTGACACACCAGGTGCTGGGTGGGACACACACTGCCAGGAGCACTCTCTGACACACCAGGTGCTGGGTGGGACACACACTGACAGGAGCACTCTCTGACACACCAGGTGCTGGGTGGGACACACACTGCCAGGAGCACTCTCTGACACACCAGGTGCTGGGTGGGACACACACTGACAGGAGCACTCTCTGACACACCAGGTGCTGGGTGGGACACACACTGCCAGGAGCACTGAGCACTCTCTGACACACCAGGTGCTGGGTGGGACACACACTGACAGGAGCACTCTCTGACACACCAGGTGCTGGGTGGGACACACACTGACAGGAGCACTCTCTGACACACCAGGTGCTGGGTGGGACACACACTGACAGGAGCACTGAGCACTCTCTGACACACCAGGTGCTGGGTGGGACACACACTGCCAGGAGCACTCTCTGACACACCAGGTGCTGGGTGGGACACACACTGACAGGAGCACTGAGCACTCTCTGACACACCAGGTGCTGGGTGGGACACACACTGACAGGAGCACTCTCTGACACACCAGGTGCTGGGTGGGACACACACTGACAGGAGCACTGAGCACTCTCTGACACACCAGGTGCTGGGTGGGACACACACTGACAGGAGCACTCTCTGACACACCAGGTGCTGGGTGGGACACACACTGCCAGGAGCACTGAGCACTCTCTGACACATCAGGTGCTGGGTGGGACACACACTGACAGGAGCACTCTCTGACACACCAGGTGCTGGGTGGGACACACACTGCCAGGAGCACTGAGCACTCTCTGACACACCAGGTGCTGGGTGGGACACACACTGCCAGGAGCACTGAGCACTCTCTGACACACCAGGTGCTGGGTGGGACACACACTGACAGGAGCACTCTCTGACACACCAGGTGCTGGGTGGGACACACACTGACAGGAGCACTCTCTGACACACCAGGTGCTGGGTGGGACACACACTGACAGGAGCACTCTCTGACACACCAGGTGCTGGGTGGGACACACACTGACAGGAGCACTGAGCACTCTCTGACACACCAGGTGCTGGGTGGGACACACACTGACAGGAGCACTCTCTGACACACCAGGTGCTGGGTGGGACACACACTGCCAGGAGCACTGAGCACTCTCTGACACATCAGGTGCTGGGTGGGACACACACTGACAGGAGCACTCTCTGACACACCAGGTGCTGGGTGGGACACACACTGCCAGGAGCACTGAGCACTCTCTGACACACCAGGTGCTGGGTGGGACACACACTGCCAGGAGCACTGAGCACTCTCTGACACACCAGGTGCTGGGTGGGACACACACTGACAGGAGCACTCTCTGACACACCAGGTGCTGGGTGGGACACACACTGACAGGAGCACTCTCTGACACACCAGGTGCTGGGTGGGACACACACTGACAGGAGCACTCTCTGACACACCAGGTGCTGGGTGGGACACACACTGACAGGAGCACTGAGCACTCTCTGACACACCAGGTGCTGGGTGGGACACACACTGCCAGGAGCACTGAGCACTCTCTGACACATCAGGTGCTGGGTGGGACACACACTGCCAGGAGCACTCTCTGACACACCAGGTGCTGGGTGGGACACACACTGACAGGAGCACTGAGCACTCTCTGACACACCAGGTGCTGGGTGGGACACACACTGACAGGAGCACTCTCTGACACACCAGGTGCTGGGTGGGACACACACTGACAGGAGCACTGAGCACTCTCTGACACACCAGGTGCTGGGTGGGACACACACTGACAGGAGCACTCTCTGACACACCAGGTGCTGGGTGGGACACACAGGGAAAGTGGAAGAGAGGATGGGAGACCTGGAGTATTCTGGAAGACAGCAGGGAAGTCTTGGGAGGTTGCAAAATTAATAGCTGGGAACCAGGCAAAATGGAAGGACATAGTTAAGGCCCTAGGTTCCACATACTCTAACCAAAGGCTGAACTGTTGATTCCAGCTCTCTCTCTGTACATGATAAAGTGTGTGGAATTAATAAGATTAAGATGAAGATTAATGGGACCATGATGTTGGATTACTAAATATAAGCCAAGAGAAATTACCTAGACATTGTTCAGCAAAGTCTTTTCCTGAAACACAGCTCTCCAGGTTAGCCAACAACTTCTGGCTGACGTCTGCTATTTCTTCCATATTTCCTAACACAAGGTTCAGGTCCATTCCTGCTGGTGCTTTCTGCAACAGTTTGGTAACCACAATGTCATGTAGTGTTGGACCTAACCTAAGCAATAACCCTAACACTAACCCTAGCTACAACAATGTCATGTAGTGTTGGACCTAACCTAAGCAATAACCCTAACACTAACCCTAGCTACAACAATGTCATGTAGTGTTGGACCTAACCTAAGCAATAACCCTAACACTAACCCTAGCTACAACAATGTCATGTAGTGTTGGACCTAACCTAAGCAATAACCCTAACACTAACCCTAGCTACCACAATGTCATGTAGTGTTGGACCTAACCTAAGCAATAACCCTAACACTAACCCTAACCCTAACCTAAGCAATAACCCTAACACTAACCCTAGCTACAACAATGTCATGTAGTGTTGGACCTAACCTAAGCAATAACCCTAACACTAACCCTAGCTACAACAATGTCATGTAGTGTTGGACCTAACCTAAGCAATAACCCTAACACTAACCCTAGCTACCACAATGTCATGTAGTGTTGGACCTAACCTAAGCAATAACCCTAACACTAACCCTAGCTACAACAATGTCATGTAGTGTTGGACCTAACCTAAGCAATAACCCTAACACTAACCCTAGCTACAACAATGTCATGTAGTGTTGGATCTAACCTAAGCAATAACCCTAACACTAACCCTAGCTACAACAATGTCATGTAGTGTTGGACCTAACCTAAGCAATAACCCTAACACTAACCCTAGCTACCACAATGTCATGTAGTGTTGGACCTAACCTAAGCAATAACCCTAACACTAACCCTAGCTACCACAATGTCATGTAGTGTTGGACCTAACCTAAGCAATAACCCTAACACTAACCCTAGCTACAACAATGTCATGTAGTGTTGGATCTAACCTAAGCAATAACCCTAACACTAACCCTAGCTACAACAATGTCATGTAGTGTTGGACCTAACCTAAGCAATAACCCTAACACTAACCCTAACCCTAACCTAAGCAATAACCCTAACACTAACCCTAGCTACAACAATGTCATGTAGTGTTGGACCTAACCTAAGCAATAACCCTAACACTAACCCTAGCTACAACAATGTCATGTAGTGTTGGACCTAACCTAAGCAATAACCCTAACACTAACCCTAGCTACAACAATGTCATGTAGTGTTGGACCTAACCTAAGCAATAACCCTAACACTAACCCTAGCTACAACAATGTCATGTAGTGTTGGATCTAACCTAAGCAATAACCCTAACACTAACCCTAGCTACCACAATGTCATGTAGTGTTGGACCTAACCTAAGCAATAACCCTAACACTAACCCTAGCTACCACAATGTCATGTAGTGTTGGACCTAACCTAAGCAATAACCTTAACACTAACTCTAACCCTAACCGTAGCACTAACCCTAACCATAACACTGACCTTTTCTTCAAGAAATATCTCCAGACACAGATGAAGACTATGCAGGTAATCTTTCTCTGTCTCTACAATTTCATCAATCACTTTCTTTCTCTGTTCTCTTTTCCTTTCTGTATCTTCTTCTTTCTTTTTTCTCTCCTCCTCCCTCCTCCTCTCACCCTCCCCCTCTTGTTGAGCTGCCAGTAGTCTGGCTTGTTCAAGTCTACTCTCATTGGACACCAGGGACAGCAGAGTTTCTAAACAAACAGGACAGCAGAGTTTCTAAACAAACAGGACAGCAGAGTTTCTAAACAAACAGGACAGCAGAGTTTCTAAACAAACAGGACAGCAGAGTTTCTAAACAAACAGGACAGCAGAGTTTCTAAACAAACAGGACAGCAGAGTTTCTAAACAAACAGGACAGCAGAGTTTCTAAACAAACAGGACAGCAGAGTTTCTAAACAAACAGGACAGCAGAGTTTCTAAACAAACAGGACAGCAGAGTTTCTAAACAAACAGGACAGCAGAGTTTCTAAACAAACAGGACAGCAGAGTTTCTAAACAAACAGGACAGCAGAGTTTCTAAACAAACAGGACAGCAGAGTTTCTAAACAAACAGGACAGCAGAGTTTCTAAACAAACAGGACAGCAGAGTTTCTAAACAAACAAACAGGACAGCAGAGTTTCTAAACAAACAGGACAGCAAAGTTTCTACACAAACAGGACAGCAGAGTTTCTAAACAAACAGGACAGCAAAGTTTCTAAACGAACAGGACAGCAGAGTTTCTAAACAAACAGGACAGCAAAGTTTCTAAACAAACAGGACAGCAGAGTTTCTAAACAAACAGGACAGCAGAGTTTCTAAACAAACAAACAGGACAGCAGAGTTTCTAAACAAACAGGACAGCAAAGTTTCTACACAAACAGGACAGCAGAGTTTCAAAACAAACAGGACAGCAAAGTTTCTAAACGAACAGGACAGCAGAGTTTCTAAACAAACAGGACAGCAAAGTTTCTAAACAAACAGGACAGCAGAGTTTCTAAACAAACAGGACAGCACTAAACTAAAAAAAGTAGAATGTAAACTAAACTAGCAAACTGTTAACTAAACAACCTGAATGTAAACTAAACAAGTAGAATGTAAACTAACTAGGAAGCTGTAAACTAAACAAGCAGAATGTAAACTAACTTGTCTTGTTGGGTCCAGTGTTTCTAGTCAACATGTGGAGAGTCTTGTTGGGTCCAGTGTTTCTAGTCAACAAGTGGAGTGTCTTGTTGGGTCCAGTGTTTCTAGTCAACTAGTGGAGTGTCTTGTTGGGTCCAGTGTTTCTAGTCAACTAGTGGAGTGTCTTGTTGGGTCCAGTGTTTCTAGTCAACTAGTGGAGTGTCTTGTTGGGTCAAGTGTTTCTAGTCAACAAGTGGAGTGTCTTGTTAGGTCCAGTGTTTCTAGTCAACTAGTTGAGTGTCTTGTTAGGTCCAGTGTTTCTAGTCAACTAGTGGAGTGACTTGTTGGGTCCAGTGTTTCTAGTCAACATGTGGAGAGTCTTGTTTGGTCCAGTGTTTCTAGTCAACTAGTGGAGTGACTTGTTGGGTCCAGTGTTTCTAGTCAACAAGTGGAGTGTCTTGTTGGGTCCAGTGTTTCTAGTCAACTAGTGGAGTGTCTTGTTGGGTCCAGTGTTTCTAGTCAACTAGTGGAGTGTCTTGTTTGGTCCAGTGTTTCTAGTCAACATGTGGAGAGTCTTGTTGGGTCCAGTGTTTCTAGTCAACTAGTGGAGAGTCTTGTTTGGTCCAGTGTTTCTAGTCAACATGTGGAGAGTCTTGTTGGGTCCAGTGTTTCTAGTCAACTAGTGGAGTGTCTTGTTGGGTCCAGTGTTTCTAGTCAACTAGTGGAGTGTCTTGTTGGGTCCAGTGTTTCTAGTCAACTAGTGGAGTGTCTTGTTGGGTCCAGTGTTTCTAGTCAACTAGTGGAGTGTCTTGTTGGGTCCAGTGTTTCTAGTCAACTAGTGGAGTGTCTTGTTGGGTCCAGTGTTTCTAGTCAACTAGTGGAGTGTCTTGTTGGGTCCAGTGTTTCTAGTCAACTAGTGGAGTGTCTTGTTGGGTCCAGTGTTTCTAGTCAACTAGTGGAGTGCCTTGTTGGGTCCAGTGTTTCTAGTCAACTAGTGGAGTGTCTTGTTGGGTCCAGTGTTTCTAGTCAACTAGTGGAGTGTCTTGTTGGGTCCAGTGTTTCTAGTCAACAAGTGGAGTGTCTTGTTGGGTCCAGTGTTTCTAGTCAACTAGTGGAGTGTCTTGTTGGGTCCAGTGTTTCTAGTCAACTAGTGGAGAGTCTTGTTGGGTCCAGTGTTTCTAGTCAACTAGTGGAGTGTCTTGTTGGGTCCAGTGTTTCTAGTCAACTAGTGGAGTGTCTTGTTGGGTCCAGTGTTTCTAGTCAACTAGTGGAGTGTCTTGTTAGGTCCAGTGTTTCTAGTCAACAAGTGGAGAGTCTTGTTGGGTCCAGTGTTTCTAGTCAACAAGTGGAGTGTCTTGTTGGGTCCAGTGTTTCTAGTCAACTAGTGGAGTGTCTTGTTGGGTCCAGTGTTTCTAGTCAAAAAGTGGAGTGTCTTGTTGGGTCCAGTGTTTCTAGTCAACTAGTGGAGTGTCTTGTTGGGTCCAGTGTTTCTAGTCAACTAGTGGAGTGTCTTGTTGGGTCCAGTGTTTCTAGTCAACAAGTGGAGTGTCTTGTTGGGTCCAGTGTTTCTAGTCAACATGTGGAGTGTCTTGTTAGGTCCAGTGTTTCTAGTCAACAAGTGGAGTGTCTTGTTAGGTCCAGTGTTTCTAGTCAACATGTGGAGAGTCTTGTTGGGTCCAGTGTTTCTAGTCAACAAGTGGAGTGACTTGTTGGGTCCAGTGTTTCTAGTCAACATGTGGAGAGTCTTGTTGGGTCCAGTGTTTCTAGTCAACAAGTGGAGTGACTTGTTGGGTCCAGTGTTTCTAGTCAACTAGTGGAGTGTCTTGTTGGGTCCAGTGTTTCTAGTCAACTAGTGGAGTGTCTTGTTGGGTCCAGTGTTTCTAGTCAACTAGTGGAGTGTCTTGTTGGGTCCAGTGTTTCTAGTCAACAAGTGGAGTGTCTTGTTAGGTCCAGTGTTTCTAGTCAACAAGTGGAGTGACTTGTTGGGTCCAGTGTTTCTAGTCAACAAGTGGAGTGTCTTGTTGGGTCCAGTGTTTCTAGTCAACTAGTGGAGTGTCTTGTTAGGTCCAGTGTTTCTAGTCAACATGTGGAGAGTCTTGTTGGGTCCAGTGTTTCTAGTCAACAAGTGGAGTGACTTGTTGGGTCCAGTGTTTCTAGTCAACAAGTGGAGTGTCTTGTTGGGTCCAGTGTTTCTAGTCAACAAGTGGAGTGTCTTGTTGGGTCCAGTGTTTCTAGTCAACAAGTGGAGTGTCTTGTTGGGTCCAGTGTTTCTAGTCAACAAGTGGAGTGTCTTGTTGGGTCCAGTGTTTCTAGTCAACTAGTGGAGTGTCTTGTCTTTTGGGTCCAGTGTTTCTAGTCAACTAGTGGAGTGTCTTGTTGGGTCCAGTGTTTCTAGTCAACTAGTGGAGTGTCTTGTTGGGTCCAGTGTTTCTAGTCAACTAGTGGAGTGTCTTGTTGGGTCCAGTGTTTCTAGTCAACAAGTGGAGTGTCTTGTTGGGTCCAGTGTTTCTAGTCAACTAGTGGAGTGTCTTGTCTTTTGGGTCCAGTGTTTCTAGTCAACTAGTGGAGTGTCTTGTTGGGTCCAGTGTTTCTAGTTAACTAGTGGAGTGTCTTGTTGGGTCCAGTGTTTCTAGTCAACTAGTGGAGTGTCTTAAAATCATGAACACTAGCGTGGCACGGAGCTTACAGAGAGAAACAAATATTCATAAAAACAATTGTGTCCCCATGCTTGCTGTTTACGTAGTGCAAGATTATTTGAGACAGCCCATACATGTAGTATAGCCATCACCTTCATGCAAGTACAATAAGGCTACAAAATAGCAAACTTCAATATTGGTTAAAATCAATGAAAACTTGCTTGATCTTTATTCACCATTCCAAGATATATGGAAATTCAAAACAAAATTTCTAAAGTTATTGTTTTTAACACAGCACATTGGAAAAGCCCACTAAATTAGTTAACACCCAACTAAATTAGTTTAACATCCAACCAAATTAGTTGAACACTATACTAAATTAGTTGAACACCCCATTAAATTAGTTGAACACCCCACTAGATTAGTTGAACACCCTACTAAATTAGTTGAACACCCCACTAAATTTATTGAAAACACCACTAAATTAGTTAACCTCAACCCCCCTCCAGCCATTGTAAAGTGTGAAGCTAAACAATCACCTTTTAACTGATGTTCTTCATGGAATCCATTTAAATTGTTGGTCCCAAGGTCAAGGCTATCTTCACAAGTGCCAGTACATTCTTGGCTTTTTTGTAGATCAAACATAAGTTGGTGACCACTCTATATACAGGAAATTAGATTACATAAGTTGGTGACCACTCTATATACAGGAAATTAGATTACATAAGTTGGTGACCACTCTATATCCAGGAAATTAGATTACATAAGTTGGTGACCACTCTATATACAGGAAATTAGATTACATAAGTTGGTGACCACTCTATATACAGGAAATTAGATTACATAAGTTGGTGACCACTCTATATACAGGAAATTAGATTACATAAGTTGGTGACCACTCTATATACAGGAAATTAGATTACATAATCTGGTGACCACTCTATATACAGGAAATTGGATTACATAATCTGGTGACCACTCTATATACAGGAAATTGGATTACATAAGTTGGTGACCACTCTATATACAGGAAATTAGATTACATAATCTGGTGACCACTCTATATACAGGAAATTAGATTACATAAGTTGGTGACCACTCTATATACAGGAATTAAGATTACATAATCTGGTGACCACTCTATATACAGGAAATTAGATTACATAAGTTGGGGACCACTCAATATACAGGAAATTAGTTTACATAAAATGTGAAGACTTATAAATGCACTTATAATAAGAAAATAAACTTTAATTTTATTTTTACAATAATAGTTAAACAAAGCATTTTTTCCAAAATGTATAGAAAGATATCGACTTGATTGACTAAATGTATTGAAAGATATCTACTTGATTGACTAAATGTATTGAAAGATATCTTCTTGATTGGCTAAATGTATTGAAAGATATCTGCTTGATTGACTAAATGTATTGAAAGATATCTACTTGATTGACTAAATGTATTGAAAGATATCTACTTGATTGACTAAATGTATTGAAAGATATCTACTTGATTGACTAAATGTATTGAAAGATATCTACTTGATTGACTAAATGTATTGAAAGATATCGACTTATTGACTAAATGTATTGAAAGATATCTACTTGATTGACTAAATGTATTGAAAGATATCTACTTGATTGACTAAATGTATTGAAAGATATCTACTTGATTGACTAAATGTATTGAAAGATATCTTCTTGATTGACTAAATGTATTGAAAGATATCTTCTTGATTGGCTAAATGTATTGAAAGATATTGACTTGATTGACTAAATATATTGAAAGATATCAAATTGATAGGCTAAATGTATTGAAAGATATCGACTTGATTGAGTACATATATTGAAAGATATCAAATTGATAGGCTAAATGTATTGAAAGATATCGACTTGATTGACTAAATATATTGAAAGATATCGGCTTGATTGACCAACTTGTTTACTCTGATGGCTACCAACTAGTTTACTCAGATGGCTACCAACTAGTTTACTCAGATGGCTACCAACTAGTTTACTCAGATGGCTACCAACTAGTTTACTCAGATGGCTACCAACTAGTTTACTCAGATGGCTACCAACTAGTTTACTCAGATGGCTACCAACTAGTTTACTCAATGACTGCTGGTAATTTATCTGGAAGTCACTACATTAGAAATGAGACAAAACTGAAATAAAAGATTTCAATAAAAACACTAAGTAAAACCTTATAATAAAAACAAGTCTAAAATATCTTTAACTGAAAATAGTCTAAAAGATCTTTTACTGACAAGTCTATAAGATTACTGACTGAAAGGTCTATAAAATCTTTTGTAAAAATGTGTAGTAAAGTGCCAGCGTGCTGTAAAACTATTACACTTTGAGCGTAGAAAAACCTTGGATAAAGTTGAAACAAAAACCAAATGAGACAAGACCCCCAGCTAGAGTGTCCTATCAAGTAAGTTGGGCATGCAAGTTTAAATAGAAACAACACCTCCACATTGTGCAGTTCAAGCAAAAAATCTTCTTACTTAATCTGCAACATGGGAAACAGAGAATAAAACAGGCCCGTCCGCACCAAGCCATAGCATTGGGCTCTTACAGATAGCTAGACTAGCTTCAGTAGTCAAATAGCTAGACCAGCTTCAGTAGTCAAATAGTTAGACAAACCTTAAAACAGCTATTTAAATGTTTTTTGAAATATGATAGATGCCAAGTCTAAAGAATGATAGCACCACTGCAAAATTGTATGAAAACACTGGTGGATAGCACACAGAATGTAGCACGCCACTGGTGGATAGCACACGTAATGGAGCAAGCGTCTGGTGGATGCCCCTGTGTGTCTAGCATATGATCTCTTACACACAAGTCATCTGCTGTCAGCTGCTGTCAGCTGCAAGCATTAAGTTAATGAGATAACAGCAGGTGCTGGCACAGCTGTTCCCAGTAACACACTCTAGGGTACACATTTAAACCAGCTGACCAGGTCTATAGCACACATTTAAACCAGCTGACCAGGTCTATAGTACACATTTAAACCAGCTGACCAGGTCTATAGCACACATTTAAACCAGCTGACCAGGTCTATAGCACACATTTAAACCAGCTGACCAGGTCTATAGCACACATTTAAACAAGCTGACCAGGTCTATAGTACACATTTAAACCAGCTGACCAGGTCTATAGCACACATTTAAACCAGCTGACCAGGTCTATAGCACACATTTAAACCAGCTGACCAGGTCTATAGCACACATTTAAACCAGCTGACCAGGTCTATAGCACACATTTAAACCAGCTGACCAGGTCTATAGCACACATTTAAACCAGCTGACCAGGTCTATAGCACACATTTAAACCAGCTGACCAGGTCTATAGCACACATTTAAACCAGCTGACCAGGTCTATAGCACACATTTAAACCAGCTGACCAGGTCTATAGCACACATTTAAACCAGCTGACCAGGTCTATAGCACACATTTAAACCAGCTGACCAGGTCTATAGCACACATTTAAACCAGCTGACCAGGTCTATAGCACACATTTAAACCAGCTGACCAGGTCTATAGCACACATTTAAACATGGCAGCTGACCAGGTCTATAGCACACATTTAAACCAGCTGACCAGGTCTATAGCACACATTTAAACCAGCTGACCAGGTCTATAGCACACATTTAAACCAGCTGACCAGGTCTATAGCACACATTTAAACCAGCTGACCAGGTCTATAGTACACATTTAAACCAGCTGACCAGGTCTATAGCACACATTTAAACCAGCTGACCAGGTCTATAGCACACATTTAAACCAGCTGACCAGGTCTATAGCACACATTTAAACATGGCAGCTGACCAGGTCTATAGCACACATTTAAACATGGCAGCTGACCAGGTCTATAGCACACATTTAAACCAGCTGACCAGGTCTATAGCACACATTTAAACCAGCTGACCAGGTCTATAGCACACATTTAAACCAGCTGACCAGGTCTATAGTACACATTTAAACCAGCTGACCAGGTCTATAGCACACATTTAAACATGGCAGCTGACCAGGTCTATAGCACACATTTAAACATGGCAGCTGACCAGGTCTATAGTACACATTTAAACCAGCTGACCAGGTCTATAGTACACATTTAAACCAGCTGACCAGGTCTATAGTACACATTTAAACCAGCTGACCAGGTCTATAGTACACATTTAAACCAGCTGACCAGGTCTATAGCACACATTTAAACCAGCTGACCAGGTCTATAGTACACATTTAAACCAGCTGACCAGGTCTATAGTACACATTTAAACCAGCTGACCAGGTCTATAGCACACATTTAAACCAGCTGACCAGGTCTATAGCACACATTTAAACCAGCTGACCAGGTCTATAGCACACATTTAAACCAGCTGACCAGGTCTATAGCACACATTTAAACCAGCTGACCAGGTCTATAGCACACATTTAAACCAGCTGACCAGGTCTATAGTACACATTTAAACCAGCTGACCAGGTCTATAGCACACATTTAAACATGGCAGCTGACCAGGTCTATAGCACACATTTAAACCAGCTGACCAGGTCTATAGCACACATTTAAACCAGCTGACCAGGTCTATAGTACACATTTAAACCAGCTGACCAGGTCTATAGCACACATTTAAACCAGCTGACCAGGTCTATAGCACACATTTAAACCAGCTGACCAGGTCTATAGCACACATTTAAACCAGCTGACCAGGTCTATAGTACACATTTAAACCAGCTGACCAGGTCTATAGCACACATTTAAACCAGCTGACCAGGTCTATAGTACACATTTAAACCAGCTGACCAGGTCTATAGTACACATTTAAACCAGCTGACCAGGTCTATAGCACACATTTAAACCAGCTGACCAGGTCTATAGCACACATTTAAACCAGCTGACCAGGTCTATAGCACACATTTAAACAAGCTGACCAGGTCTATAGTACACATTTAAACAAGCTGACCAGGTCTATAGCACACATTTAAACATGGCAGCTGACCAGGTCTATAGCACACATTTAAACAAGCTGACCAGGTCTATAGTACACATTTAAACAAGCTGACCAGGTCTATAGCACACATTTAAACCAGCTGACCAGGTCTATAGCACACATTTAAACCAGCTGACCAGGTCTATAGTACACATTTAAACCAGCTGACCAGGTCTATAGCACACATTTAAACCAGCTGACCAGGTCTATAGTACACATTTAAACCAGCTGACCAGGTCTATAGTACACATTTAAACCAGCTGACCAGGTCTATAGCACACATTTAAACCAGCTGACCAGGTCTATAGCACACATTTAAACCAGCTGACCAGGTCTATAGCACACATTTAAACAAGCTGACCAGGTCTATAGTACACATTTAAACAAGCTGACCAGGTCTATAGCACACATTTAAACATGGCAGCTGACCAGGTCTATAGCACACATTTAAACAAGCTGACCAGGTCTATAGTACACATTTAAACAAGCTGACCAGGTCTATAGCACACATTTAAACATGGCAGCTGACCAGGTCTATAGTACACATTTAAACCAGCTGACCAGGTCTATAGCACACATTTAAACCAGCTGACCAGGTCTATAGCACACATTTAAACCAGCTGACCAGGTCTATAGTACACATTTAAACCAGCTGACCAGGTCT